CCCCCCCCCCCCGACGGCCCGGCCCGACCGGCAGCGGAGCGGCTCCGCTCGGCGCTGCGCTGCGGACGAGAGATGGCGCTGTCGGGGTTCGCACGGAGCCGCTCCGCCGCCGACCGAGCGCTGCCGCTCTCCGCCCGCACGGCCGCCCCCCCGCCCCGGCCCCGCGCCCTCCCCCCTCGGAGGGGGCACCGGGAGAGGGGAGGCGAAAGTAAAGGCAGTTTGTTCGCCACGGGGCTGAATCCTGAGGGAGCGAGGCTTGAAAACTTGCAGGGCTCTTTGCTAACCCGGCGTGGTGTTGGGGGAAGGAAATGGATGCCCCGTGCTCGGGCGTGGGGAACGGCGAGTAACGCGGGGAGCGGCACGGAGCCTGCGGGGCTGAACTCACCGCCCCCTCCCTCGGACCGGCACCGCGCTGCCCCGCACAGAGCCCCGCCGTGCCCTCCGGTGTCCGCTCCAGGGCAGGGGCAGCTCCGGGGCACCGCGGGGCGGAGCGGAGCGCTCAGCCGACGGCAGCGCTCGGCAGGCGCTGTCCCGACGCGACGGAACGGTCCCCACCCGCAGCCTCTTACCCGGGTGCGTCCGGCGGTGGCGGCGGGCAGGAAGGGGTTAAGGCGCACCCAGCTGACAGTCAGCTGATGGGGCCCTGATTGACAGCTCCCAAAAGTTTCCTTGTTCTATGCTAATATTCGCTGGGAGGGAGCCGCCCATTGGTCCGGCCGCGGAGTCCATTTGCCATTTGCAGGGTGACGTCAGGAGCGCTATAAAACTCTGCAATGCTTTTAAACTCTCCTGCTGGATGAAACCTTTAAAATATTTTTCATCTTCTTGCCGTAGCTGTGGGGTTGAGGGTTTGTTGGTTGTTTTTTTTTTTTTTTTTTCCTTCCCTCTCCCTTTTTTATGATTGTTGTTATTTTGGTTGCGATATATCGACTTTGATTTGATTTTTTTTTTTTTTTTGTCTTCGGTCTCTTCTCCCTCCTCCTTCCCCCGATGAACCTCTCTCCTCGCTCTGCACTTTGCACGAGAAAGCGCAAAGGCACCATGAAGTGTTAAAAATAACAAAACAAAAGCAAAAAAAAAGAGAGAGAGAGAGAGAGAGGAAAAAAATTTCCTCGCAACAACACCCGCGAACGCTTCCAGCTGCAGTTTGCGAGAGAGAAAGAGAGAGAAGGGAGGAAAGAGCCGTGCGTGCAGAAGGCGCAGAGCCCCTCGCTCTGATGCAGCAGCGGCAGCGGAGGCTCTGCAGGGGATAACGCGGAGCGGGCGGAGCGCGGCGCGGCGCGGCGGAGGAACGGACGGACGGGCGGACGGACGGACGGACAGCAAAGCTGGCTCACCCGGCGGCAGCGCAGAGCAGCGCCCTCGCTCCCGGAGCGCACCCTTTCTGGAGGACTGTCAGCAGCAAAAGGATGGCATCAGAACTGGCAATGAGCGGCTCCGACCTGCCCACCAGTCCCCTGGCCATGGAATATGTTAATGACTTCGATCTGATGAAGTTTGAAGTGAAAAAGGAGCCGGTGGAGACCGATCGCATTATCAGCCAGTGCGGCCGCTTGATCGCCGGGGGATCGCTCTCTTCCACCCCGATGAGCACGCCCTGCAGCTCGGTGCCCCCGTCCCCCAGCTTCTCGGCGCCCAGCCCCGGCTCCGGCACCGACCAGAAGACCCACCTGGAAGACTACTACTGGATGACGGGCTACCCGCAGCAGCTCAACCCCGAGGCGCTGGGCTTCAGCCCCGAGGACGCGGTGGAGGCGCTGATCAACAGCAGCCACCACCCGCTGCCCGGCGCCTTCGATGGCTATGCTAGAGGGCAGCAGCTGGCCGCGGCCGCCGGCGGCTCGGTGCCGGCCGAGGAGATGGGCTCGGCGGCCGCCGTGGTGTCGGCGGTGATCGCCGCGGCGGCGGCGCAGGGCGGCGCGCCCCACTACCACCACCACCACCACCACCCGCACCACGGCGGCGGCGGCGGCGGCGGCGGACACCCCCACGGCGCGGCGCCGGGCAGCGCGCCGCCCTCCTCCGCCTCCTCCTCGGCCGCGGGCTCCGGAGGCGGCGGCGGCGGCGGCGGCGGAGGCGCCGGGGGGCTGCACCACCCGCACCACGGAGGAGGAGGCGGCGGCGGCGGCCTGCACTTCGACGACCGCTTCTCCGACGAGCAGCTGGTCACCATGTCGGTGCGGGAGCTGAACCGGCAGCTGCGGGGCGTCAGCAAGGAAGAGGTGATCCGGCTGAAGCAGAAGAGGAGGACCCTCAAAAACAGGGGCTATGCCCAGTCCTGCCGCTTCAAGAGGGTCCAGCAGCGGCACGTCCTGGAGTCGGAGAAGAACCAGCTGCTGCAGCAAGTGGAGCACCTAAAGCAGGAGATCTCCAGGCTGGTCCGGGAGAGGGACGCCTACAAGGAAAAGTACGAGAAGCTGGTCAGCAATGGCTTCCGAGAAAACGGATCCAGCAGCGACAACCCCTCCTCTCCAGAGTTTTTCATGTGAGTTCCCACAGCCTTGCCACCTTACCTAAAAGTTCTCCGTGTGAGTTGTTGTTGGGGGCTTTGCTAGAGCGCCGACCCGCCGTGCCACCTTGTATCACTTTTTGGTTTTCCAACTCAAAACTGCTTTCAGACAAACTCGGGTTTTGGGTTGATTTTTATTTTTATTTTTTTAAGGTGGGCCGGCTGCGTGTTGGCCAACCTCAAGTTCTACATCAGTTTCTTTTCTGTTTATTATTATTATTATTATTATTGTGGGGGCTTGCTGTTGTTTTTTTTTTTTTTTTAAATTTAAAAGATCCAACTCGCCACCAACTCAGTTCTTCATATGAAGCTTGCTCTGAAACCTGCCATCCACATCATATATATATATATTTTTAAGTTCATGACTTGTATTTTTTTTCCTTTGAGCTTGCTGTGTCCAAAAGAGTCAGACCATATTGACGTTGTTTCATATTTTTTTTTGCCATCCTGAGTTCTTCATATGAGATTTGAGCTTTGCGAAAAGAAAAATAATTAAAAAAAAATAATAAAAACAAACGTTAAAAAAAAAAACCAACAAAAACACAAAACAAAGCAAAAACCACCCAAAAAAATACAAAAAAAAAAAAAAAAAAGTGAAATTTTTAGACTCCAGCTTGCTGAGTTCCATCAGTTTTTAGCGTTGTTGTGCGAAACTAGAGGTGTAGCTCAACCTGCCCCAACCAGCCTGCATCAGCCTTCGGTGTGTCCATGTGAGTTTTGGCCTTAATCTGCCAAACGTGAGACTGTAGTCTGCCATTAGAATCCCATCCTCATCTCATGCATTACGCTTGCTATTTTGTCTTAGCAGCAATGAACTGTAACTGTTTCAAAAGACTATGAAAAAGAGACATTATATTAATAAAAAAAAAAAAAAAAAAAAAGAAAACAAACCCTGCATGCTGGTCATGTACGGTATAATTTTTTTTTTTTCTTTTTTTTTTCTTTTTTTTCTTTTTTTTTTTGTTCCTTTTGCTTGGAAATGGACTTTTGGAGACTATTATGGCATGGCATTCATCCTTTTGTTTTATTGCCTCATCACTTTTTTGGGTTGAAAGCAAAAAAGTGCAACCTTTGATCTTCCTCTTCTTCCTCCTCCCCATTAAAGTTTGCATCTGCTCTAAAACTGCTTTGAGTCACTCAGAACTTCAGACTTCCTTTCCAATGCACTGAAGCATTCCCTCTTAGAAAGACATGCCAGGATGGATGTTGGTAACCCGATGTGGCAAAAAATAAAATAAGTAAATGAATGAATAAAAACACAAAGCGCAGAAAGAACTTTGGGAAGATGCTCAAATGCAAAATTCACATCCCGCTCGGGGGGACATTGAAACCGTGCTGTTGCCTAAAAGCAGTCTAAACCAATTAACTGTAGGTGATCTGCCCCATCTTTTGATTTGATTTATTATTATTATTTTTTTTTTTCCTTTTTACATTTGGTCATGGTCAAATGTGGAATGCTCTGGGTTCCTGGTATATAATTTAATTCTACTTTCTGTCATCTGTTAGCCCAGTTAAAATGTATGCTACAGATAAAGGAATGTTATAGATAAATCCGAAAGAGTTAGGTCTGTTTAGATGTAGATTTCTATTATTATTATTATTATTTTTTTTTTTTTAAAGATTGATGCACTAAATTGTTTACTGTCGTGATGTAAAGGGGGGTAGAATTTGCAACGGGACTGTTTTAAAAAGTAGTTTATGCAGCATGTGCTTGCAACTTACCTATAAGTTGGGTATATGTAGTCCTTGCTATACCACTGACTGTATTTGAAAACCAAAGTATTAAAGGGGGGAGGCACCCTTGTTTATATCTATAGGGGTATTTTACATTCAAAATGTATGGATTTTTTTTTTTTTTTTTTTCAAAATTGAAGTATTTGGGACTGAATTGCACTAAGATATAACCTGCAAGCATATAATACAAAAAAAAAAAAAAAAAAGAAAAAAAAAGAAAAAAAAAAGAAGAAAAAAAAAAAAAGGACGAACCTGTTTAGAACGCTAATACGATTTATGCAGTTATAAAAGATGGCATTACTGCACAGTTTTAAAATGATGCAGATTTTTTTACAGTTGTATTGTGGTGCAGAACTGGATTTTCTGTAACTTCAAAAAGATTCCGCAGTTTTAAAGGCAATAATCAGTAAATTTTATTTTCAGGGACTGATATCCTGTCTTTTAAAAAAGAAAAATAGAAAAAAAAATGGAAAGTAAATCTTACCACAATAAATATAAAAAAATCTTGTCAGTTACTTTTTTCTTTTACACATTTTGCTGTGCAAAATTGTTTTATATCTTGAGTTACTAACTAACCACGTGTGATGTTCCTATGTGCTTTCCTTTCATTTTTGACTCTATGGTTATATCGAAAGAGAGAATAATCTACAATAATAAACTGCATTTTTTTTTTTTCCCCCCCGATTCTGTGCTCCGTTTCTTAGCACGTAGTGCACAGTCCCCTCTGGCAGAGCAGCGCTGGCGGAGCATTGAGGCTGGTTGAGGAGCTGACCTCGGTGATAGGAAGGAGGGAGATGGGAAAGGATAGCGCTGTGCAGACGCGACGTTGCCACCCGGTAGAAACCAGGTAGATGGGAACCGTGGGCTCCCAGGTGCTGCGCACACCTCGCTTGGGTGCATCTGTGTGAGTCCCCAGCAGGAGGGCTGCCCTGCTGCCCTGCCAGCCTGGCACGGCCCCCAGGATTCGGGCTGCTTGGTGACGGGGCGAAGCAGACGGGAGCGCTTCGCATCCTCGTCCCGTCGCGTCCCAGCAGAGCGTGGCTGTCTCGGGTTGGGGATGGCACCTCATCAGGCTTGGCGTGTGGCAGAGCTACGGAGTGTTAGGGCAGGAGTGCTTCTTGCCATTGAGGCCCACGATGCCTCCTTTTACCTTTCTTTGCTTCCCCCGCCCCGTTTCACCCCATTCTTTCGTTCACCTGGTGGTTTTTTTTGTTTGTTTGGTTGGTTGGTTTGTTTCGGTCATTTTTTTCAAATTTTTGCTACAGGCCTTAGAGAGCCCTGAGTGAGCCAAAGGATTCAAAGGGCTTCCTCCAAGTTTTGCAGTCGGCCCTAGCGGTCAACGTGCTGGAAGTGCTGCGCTCCCCGAGCCCCTGTGCGCTCAGTTCCCTCTGTCATCCCCATGTCATCCCCATGTCAGAGGGCATTGAGGCTCCGTGGGCTGCTCGGCCCCCGCTGACTCAGTGCAGCCTTCCCAGGAGCCTGCAAGGAGTGTGCTGGGCCTCTCTCACCTCTTGGATGAGGTCTGTGCTAACGGCTCTCCGAAGAATGCTGCAGCCCCCCCAGGACAATGGCTCTAACTCAAGACCCAGGCTTGGAAACCCAGTGCTGTTTTAATTTTTTCCCCTTTTCATCCCCCCGCTTCCTACTGTTGGTCTTCCCAGCTTTACCACCAAAACAAAAGCACCTATTAGGCTCCTCTGCCGAGTGCCCACCGTGCCCTGTGCAGCCTCGAGACCCTGAGCTGTGGGTCTCCCCTGCCATGGGTCAGACCAGTGCCACCACCACGGTCCCCAGCAGTGATGCTGCACTACACCCCTCCCCAGCGCCCTTTGGCATCTGACCTTCTGTTGCACCAGGGTTTGAGTAATGGTTCAAGCTCCAGACTCTGGTTAATTGGAGTTCCACTTTCTGGTTAATGTGTAAGCTCTGGGTAAACTGGTTGCTATTGGCTGATCGGAGAATTATCTCCTCTCATAAAGACAGGGGTTCTTTACTTATTCTTTAATTCTTCTCCCACCTTCCCGGGCTGAACCTCTACTGATGCACAGATTTATTTGCAGCGGTGCTCAGCTCTTCGAAGGGCTCCTAGAGGGCTCTGCACGGGGATGGGGTGAAGCCGGTGCAACCCTGAGGCCCTGCGTGGGACCACTCCTGGTCCTTGTGCTGCTGCTGGACAGGGTTAGGGCAGGGTTAGGGTGTGAGATAGGTGAGAGTCGGGGAGCAGTTTGAACAGTGATAAGAGAAATCCTTCCTAGAAATAGACCGAGTGCAAAAGGGAAAATTCCTATCGCACACCCAAGCTGAGGGGAAGGAACTTTGCATCTCTCCCAGTTTTGTTTATTACTGCGCAATGCAATCTTTCTTTACGAATAGGAAGTAGCGCAGCCTTCGCTGGACTGCATGTGAATTTCAGCCCAAAACACACCAACTTCCCAACGGAAGGGGAAAAACAACCAGAAGCACACAGCGCTGCTGCTAACACCAAGCGAGTGTTGGGGCTCTATCAGTCATGACATGGGAGCACCCACCTTTGCTGCAGGACTGCTTGCCGAGGTCTCACGGAGCCGCTCCGCTCTGAACAACGCTCATTAATCAATGAATCGCCCCTGGCCAGGCTCTGGCTGCCCTCCTGCCCCCCTTGGGGTGCAGCACTGGGGCAGCTGGGTGCTGCCGTGCCGCAGGGTCCGTGCCATCACAGCGCTGCCCCATCTCACAGCCCTGCGGTGTGTCCCCATTCAGTAACCGCGCTACAAAGAACTTCCATGTGACCGCTGCCGGGAGATGCCTGCAGCCCCGTGCTGGCCGTGAGCACAGCGCACCCCCCTCCTCCCCACCCCACAGCATCCTTCACCTTTATTTTAATTATTTTTCCTAAAACAAAGCAAACCCGTCTTCCCCGAGCGTCCCCGCACTCGTGCCTCAGCATTTTCCCTGCCTGAAAAAAAGCAGCATCCCGGAGCGCATCCGAAAGAAGGGAGGGAGTTCTGCAAGCCCCTCACCGCTGCCTTTTGTCAGAAGGTCCTCTTTGCCCTTTTTAGAGCTTGAGAATGTGTGTGCTGAATCAGAACGCCACGCAGCACTACCCCCTGCGAAACGTGGCAGCAGATTTGAAGCGCGCAGAGCGCACTTTCCCAGCTCCTCTCCTTTCCGAGAGCCTCAGCACAGCTGTTTCCCTCTGCTCAGCGTGTAGGAAGTTCTCGATCGAGAATCATTCATAATTTTAATACCAATTTCTATTTGACATAACATACTAATATGAGATACAGAGTGTAGCTGCTTCCTGGATTTAGGGAGGAAATGATGCATATATCAGAATTATCTGCTCAGATGCCAGAAGTACATCGGTGTCCTTTCAGCGTGTGCTGCACGGGGAGGAAATCCTCTATTTATTGCTCCCATCACTAGAGGAGCTCAATGGACCCTGTGTCTCTGACACCTGTTCCGACGGACGGACTGAACATTTCACACAGGAGAGGAAAAAAAAAAAAAAAAAAAAGCAACGTGACACAGTGCTGGGAGCTCAGGTTTTTAGCAAACTTCCTTCCCTCTTTCAGAATCACAGAGGTGGGGTTGTGAAGGGCCCGTCTGTTGCAGCTATGGCGAGAGCCATGCCTGCTTGGCTGGGACAAGACCGCTCCTGCATTGCACACCAGGATGCACAGAGCTGAGCGGCTTTTGGGGAGGGAGCACTCGAGCGCTGTGTGAACGCTGCTTAACTGATGAATTCTGGGGAGCTCAGCAGATAAAAATCAATGGATTAAAGCCCCGCACACCTCGCCGCGTTTCATTCTTGCCTGCCTGAAATTGTGGGGGAGGACTGAGAATAGCGTTTGTCATTCTTGGAGGGCGAAGAGCATTCAGATTGGTGAGCTCAAAGCCAGCACGGTGTAAAAATAGCCCAGGATGTGACTTAACTTTGCAAGTGCAAAGCGAAGGGCCGGGGCTCGGTGGGCCCTGTGTAGGGCTGGAGGCAGCGTCAGCCCCAGCAGGGTCAACACAAGCCGGCACAGCATGACAGCATCTCAGTGCCCCGATGCACTCGATCTTATCACTCCGAAATTCTCATTTTCTATCTACGCTGCTGTACCAACTTTTAAAAAATGTATATTGTTAATTTCCTTTTTGTTTCCCGAATTCCCTCTTTTAAATCAGTGCACTGTGATGCAGCAGAGGGGTGCCGCCCTGTGGTCACAGTGTGGGGAGGGGGCCGGGGATAGCACTGCCTCCCCCCTGTTCACACTGGAGCCCCGTGGATGTGCTTCGCTTTGCTTTTTCCCCTGCAATGTGTTGCACGGAGGCAGTCAAAATGAGCAGAAGTGGTTCACTGGAAGTGGTGCTTCTGCACCACAATGAAGAAAAGTTTTCCAGTGAACAAACCGAGTGGTGTCTTTCCATTTCCAGCAGAGTAGGGAATGCTCGCAGCAGCATTTCCACCTTCCTGGCAGAAATGTTGGTGCTGCATACGGAGGCAGCTACCTGTGCATCCCGAGCAGCAGCAAGCATGGGGACATGCACTGCTGCCTGAGGGCACCTTTGGGGTCAGTGCTGTCACAGATTGGAGCAGCCTGGCAATAACCTGCTCAGCAGTGAGGTGTCTGTGTCACAGCATTGCATCTGTCCCGCTGCCCCCGTCACCTCCCAGGCTGCGGGGGCTGTTCTGTGGGGAGGGAGTGCCTTGCACACGTGTGCACACACATGCACATACACACACACGTGTTGGGGTGCTGCCCCAGCCCGGGGGTGTCACAGTGCCATGCAAGGGGGGACCAGGACGGGGGAGCGGGGGGGTGGGAGGGCTAGGGCAGGGTGAGGGGTGGCTTCTTCTTTTTGTTTGCATGTTTGTTCGTTTCTAAATTGTTCCTGGAACAAAAGGGGACTCTGCGTAACTAAAGGATCCATCCCTGCATCCCAGGCTTAGCCCCGGTGCGCTCCCAGGCGGCTCCAGTTGGCTGATCCTCCCCTAGGTATGTGCTTGGGGCCTCCTCCCGCCTCTGCCTCACAGCCTTTTC